TTCAGTCTGATAGACTTAGAATATTCACAGCTCATTGATGAACTTAGATTATATCGTCAACTTGATGGACTTAGAATATTTATCGATAATCTGAAGAACTTAGCAGATTCCATACATCTTCACTCTGATAGACTTAGAATATTCACAGCCCATTTGGTGAACTTAGTTTATATCGTCAACTTGGTGGACTTAGAATATTCACCGATAATCTGAAGTACTTAGCAGATTCCATACATGTTCAGTCTGATAGACTTAGAATATTCACAGCTCATTTGATGAACTTAGATTATATCTTCAACTTGGTGGACTTAGAATATTCATCGATAATCTGAAGTACTTAGCAGATTCCATACATCTTCAGTCTGATAGACTTAGAATATTCACAGCTCATTTGATGAACTTAGATTATATCTTCAACTTGGTGGACTTAGAATATTCATCGATAATCTGAAGTACTTAGCAGATTCCATACATCTTCAGTCTGATAGACTTAGAATATTCACAGCTCATTTGATGAACTTAGATTATATCTTCAACTTGGTGGACTTAGAATATTCATCGATAATCTGAAGTACTTAGCAGATTCCATACATCTTCAGTCTGATAGACTTAGAATATTCACAGCTCATTTGATGAACTTATTATATCGTCAACTTGGTGGACTTAGAATATTCATCACCTTGAAGGACTCAGAATATGCATCGCTCATCTGATGAAAAACTACATTAGTGATGAACACTTTTATATATATATATAAATATACAAGTATTATTACATGAAGGACTTATAATTAGCACCTCTGAAACTGAAACTTATTATCGATTTGTGTTGTATTATTTTGAGGCGGATGAAGCCAGAATATATGTTGTTAAGCTTTCATTAACTATTGTGTCTCTTTATTTTCACACGTGCATTTAATGTGTACAACGTATCCCCAAAGTGACCTAGTCTAAAACAAAAACACCCACACTACCCAAATTAGGCTAGCCGTTACACTAGGTCACACAACTATGCTATCTAAGTTTCTCAAAGTTTGAGACTACAAATCAAATCAATATTTTTGTTTGAAAGTCAGGATATAAATTCCTCTGAAGGTTCCAAACTGTATGAGCACAGGACCGTGGGTCCTTCATTATTGGTTATTGGGGGAGGGTACCCTGTAACACGTATCGAAACTCAGAAACAAAGACTTTGGTAATGGGAGAAGGGATAGAAAGATGGCAGTTTTGCTCATTCAGCACTGTACTCAATACCCTCTCCAGTTACTCTGACCATATAAATAATATGATAAAATACTTTAGCTTAGAACACAATTTCCTTTATTGGTCAATTACTTTATTGACGTGAAGTAAGATTCCTGATTAGATGTGCTTGATAATATGTGCCTAGTCGCTGTTAGACTTGATATAGTAATACATGTATATCTTCCACATATTCCTGCAGATGTTGTAGTATGGGGGTTACTGTCACTTGCATTCATTCTGATTTATAATCTAATCTAAATGACATGTACATAACAGTGAAACCTGTTAAGTGGAACACTTCTACAAGTAAAACACCTGTTAGTAGAACACTTTTTGGCGTTCCTAGACTAACTGTCTTAATGATCAATGAACCTTTATTTGCGGAACATCTCCCAAGTGGAACACTTTTTAGTTTTAGAGGCCCCAAAGATGTTCCACTTAGACAGGTTTTATTATGTTAATTTCACTTTGGGATGTTCTTTTGTGAGCAGTTGTAGATGGATGAAATCAGGTTTATTGGGAGAGGACTACAGTATAGATTTCATTTGCACTTAAGGGTAGACTAAAATCAAAACAATTAAATATTCTCTATACAGCTTATATTCAGTCCTTATTTGATTATTGTGATATCCTTTATGACTGTGCTCCTATTTGTGACCTTAACAGACTTGACAGTCTCCAGTACCAAGCTGGTCTAATAGTCTCTGGTGCTCTCCCAGGCTCCAGCACTTCCAAAGTACTTAACATTTTGAACTGGTCCACCTTAACTGAGAGGAGGATCCTCCACTTTAAAACAATATTATGTACAAAGCCGTGAACGATTTAACACCTATTTATATCTCAGATATATTTAGGCCATTCATAAACCCTCAAGCAAGATTGTTAAGGAAATCTCGAGATTTCACTATCCCTATTCACTATCCACATAAGTCTCCAATATACAAAATGATGAACCTATGGAATGATCCAGGATCTGTTCCCTTGGAACAAAAGCTCTTGCCAACTATTGCATCTTTTAAAAGAACACTTAAATTAAATTTGTTCCCTGGTGTTGTTTCAACTATTTGTTTAAAATTAACTCGTCAACAAGAACTTTATCTGAATAGAGCCAGGGTAGATTTAATTTTAAAAGCTCAGCTCAAAGCCCACAATTGGAGCTCAGTTGAGTCATCAAATTGTTTATGTGGTTCCCCTGAAACTTTTCCCCACTTCTTTTTCAAATGCCCTCTGAAAGAACAACAAAGAAATAAATTAATCACAGATACTTTAGGGATATATGGGGACTTATTAACTCATTTCAGAACTCAGCAAGACAAAATTCACTTTTTCTTTTTGGGGATCCATCATTAACCCAATTAGAAATGGATAATCTATTTTCACTGGTTGCGAATTATCTCATTGAAAACACAACCAGAATCTAAATATTTTCCTGCCTATGACCTGTTTCCATTTTTCAACATTCTACCCCCCCCCCCCCCAAGGATATCAGCAGCCCTCCTATCTTTTGTTTCATTGCAAGGCATTCTACCATTTACTGGTGACATCGAGGTTAAGATGAATATTGTACTTTATTGTTTATTTATATAAGGGGACATCTAATGCTTACAGCGCTTTGCCCCTTGTAATTGTATCTAAATGACTTGTGCTTACAATAAATATGAAAGATGATAAAAAAAAATTTGTGAAATATATCCCGTGCTTATCTAGTAGTCACTCATCCATTGTCAAAATCTTACCAATCTATGAGAGTATATAATATAAAACATGGACATGTGATTGTAGGTGATCATCACACACATGGTATTTTCGATTTTCTGTTTTCTAATAATTTGTATTTCTCAGTTTTCTGAAATATGAATAATATTTTCCGATTTAAAGTACATTGCTTTTTAATAATTTTCTTGCACTATTAAAAGTTCCTGAGAAATACATGCTTAATATAGCAATGCCAATCCATCAATGTAAAAGTCTGTGAGGCTCAGTTTGGATAAATGCCCACTGGGGTTAACAACTTGTAATTCAGAGACCTCAAAGCCCAAAGGAGTTGTCATTTTTAGACCTGAGATGAAGCGTGTTGGAAAAATGTGGCAGGGTAATTAAATTCAATGTTCTTGGCATATTAATCTTTGAGCCACAGGTACATTTGTGGTTTAGAATGATAAATATGGTTGTTTCACTATCTGACTTTGACAAGTAAATTACGCTGAAAGATGATGAGTATCAGTAGGAAATATTGGTGTTTCTTTCTTTGCAAATGTCGTTTAATACTACAGTAGAAAGTGGCAACATTTTTACACGATTTTTGAATCATTGTAGTATTTCAAGATTTCTCAATATGAGTTAATTTTGTAAAAAAAGCATTAATGGAAAATGAAAAATTTGTATTTGTGATTTACTTTCACATTTCATTGTAATACATGTATCCTATTTGTTTTCTACTTTAAATGAAATAGTTAACTCATTTACATAAAAAAGCAAGAAACAATTGTACCTAGTTAAGTAATATAATATTTTGATCTTCTAAAATTAGTCAAGGGCTAATGGAGGGTATACTTGAAGACAGAGACTTGTTTATACAAACAATTTCTCATATTGGGCAGCCATTTTGCGAAAACATTTATTTTCTTAGTTCCTTTCTTCTTTTCTTCTGAAACATCTAATGTAAACACATTAGAAAGTTGTCACATTCAAAAACACATTGGCTTTCTCCAAATGAAAATAAATCAGTTTTTGATGTTTTCAGCAAAATTATCTTTCCATTCCTGTAGAACAACCTCAGATATTAAGGATTAAGCTCTTAAATTAGATGTATTTTCCTGTTCCATTCAAATGGTTCATTACCCACAACATCCACTACAGGCCTGACTAAAAGCCTTTTAATAAATTGATCCAAAATCTGCCCTCAGGTCACTGCATAGAATTCTAAGCACTGAAAACATTTATTGCAACAGACGCTAGGCATAAGTCACTAAAAGCGGCTAGGATAGAGCGATGTATTAAAAGTCAAAATAAAATTGGATTAATCAATAGTATGTATGCAAATCAACAGTTGCAGCCTGACAGTAATCAACTGCATATCAATCAAAAATAAACTTAGCCAAAATTGATTTTTGCATATTAACTTGACCAGTTCAATGTATCTTCAAATAATCGAGGATACCATAGTCTACTAGTTATTAATTACTGGCCATTGAAAACTGTAGACTAACATTGTAACATGTAATTATATTTTCATTGTGCTAATTCTGATTTGTGTTTAATCCATTTTTACTTGAAAAACAACAAATTGATTATTCATGACAAAATTGAAATAAAAAGACACCCATGTATCATTTGACTGAGATATTACTCAACTTCATTTGACTAAAATAATACTCAACTTTTAAAGTACAAAATAATGTAGTTCTCCATTTTAGATCAGATTTTTTCAAGAACAGTTTTATTTCATTTTTAATATATTTACTATTTATCTGTTAAATTGTACATTGTATAGTTAGAGCAATAGATGCCCATAAATGGCATGCCAGTCGTTCATATGTATTTATCAAAAAAATATATTTATAATCTAAAATACATTGTATTAGGAAATCTAATACAATATATTAGAATTATTAGTGTTAGAATAAATGATAATAAAAAATGTGCAAGACATACAGTATGCGCATAATTGTCACAGCTATACATGTATAATATTATCTAGTTTATATCAAATGCATAGTTTAAAACAGTTAATATACTGTATTTTATCCATTTCAGGATGGAGGTAAACAACTTCAAGAGGGAATGGAGGAGAATTCCACAATCACGAAAATGGACCTCAGGCTGACAGAATGTGGACAAGAATCGGAATACTGCATCAATCAAATCCTAAATAGGAATCAGGAGACGGAGCGTGAAATGTTACTAAACCAGAAGAACGCTAAAAGATAATTGACTTTAACAAACTGAACTAAAACAATTTCGAATCTGAAACTTGGAATGAACAAACAATGAAATACAGCGAATGTGCAGTACAAAGCAAAGAGAGGATTGAAAAATATTACTTTTTAAGATGTTTCAATGTGAAATAGTAACAGAATATTTTTGAAAAAATCCATACTCAATGGATATCAGAGTGATACATGTTTTATTTCTGGCAACAAAAAATTGCATAAATGTTCTATTCTTTACAATGATGTACAGTAAAACCTGTCTTGAAAGACTTTCAGCTGAGACACTGATTTAAAGTGCCCAAACATTCAGCAGTTTATATTTTAGAGGCACATTTATGGGTTTAACTGTTTTTAAATAAATATGTACAAATTGCAATATAATATTATATAACGCCAGAATAGACCAGGATTTGATCATACTGTTTAGACAGTAAATCTGTATTCAAGTCATTGTTTATATATCAAGAGATTTGGAATGTTTATAATAAAAAACGTACTAATATTTGTAAATAGCGAAGTATATGGCAGATTTATATTTTTGATGGCTGTACAAAAATGTTGATCTAAAGCAGTGATAGAAAATAATATATACTATTGCATTGAATTATTTGTTGTATGTTTGATTTGACTTCTTTAATTTGCAATTTCATAAACCTGTTTCAAACAGAGAGTATTTTGATAAGAAAAAGGTCCACTTTCATTTTCCAATATTGCATCTAGAGTGAGGTATAATTATAATTTTAAATCAAGTCTGCACTCAATGTAATAACTACACTGTTGCTCATAAATATGGAATATTAGATTTGTCAGATCAGAATTCAAGTTTTGGATGAAGACAACATTTATTTGGAGTCGTTTAAGCAATTTATTTTCTAGGCAAATCATAAACACGTATTTAATCTACAAATCAACATTTTTTAAGGGAAAAAATATTTACATTTAAGTTTAGAAATTTGCTGTAGTTTAAAATGGGGTAGTCTAAAAAAATTTGCATTTTCAAAACACCCGATCCAAATTTTAATGTAAAGCGGATCAAACAAACTAAACATCAGATCATGAAGGTGAATAAGTTCCCTATCCCATAACAGCACTAATATACGGTTTGTCTTCCAAGTGCTGCAATCAGAGCATCCATCCCGCTGGGGTCTGTTGCAATGAGATGTCTGACCTGACTACGCGAAATAAGGTCCCACTACTCAATCAGAGGAGTATATAACTCTGCTAAATTTTGAGATAGGGGATCTGTGTCACGAATTGCGCTATCAGTCTCATCCCACAGGTGCTCTGCAGGAGCCTGATGAGGTGACTTTGGTGCCTATGGTAGCTGCTCCACATTACCTGCTCTGGGGAAATCCTGCATAATGCAGCTATCATGCGCATGAGCTTCATCATGCTGTAGTTGAAAGTTATGCCCAAACACTCTGTTTGTATGTGGTACTAGATGTAGGTCTAAATGGTCACTGTATCTCTCACCGCTGACATTACAGTTCGGACTCATTAAGGGGGTACGACTCTCCTTGGTGAACACCACCTCAAATATAAACAGAACCACCTCCACGAGCTACTTTTAATAACAATCAGTTTTATGTGCAAATATGAAGAGGAAATCGGGAAGCAATAATCATTTTTCAACAAATTATCATCATTTGTAAGAGTTATACCAAACAATTAATATCTATAAAATATTCCATATTTATGAGCAACAGTTAACATTTGTCTGCATTACTCAGTTTGTTTCAAAAATACATTATTTACAAGTTTACGTCTTTGAGCTTGAATTTTGGCCTCAACCCTATGACAGTTCAGTTCAGAACACAGGAACGGAGCTAGGCTACTCACTAGCCAAGTGTTTGCCATTATTAACCATTGATAAAACATTGTTATGAACGCAAAAATGCGCAGAAATTCATTACTTTTCAAGTCACATTTTTCCACATGCCCTTAAGGGGCACTAATTATCTATGTTATTGGAGTATAGATGTAATAAAAGTCAACAATTCTGAAGCGTTAACACAGATCCCATGGCAATTATATATTGATTGTTCCCGTACTCCTGAATTACTCTAAATTACCCTATTCAAATTCGGATTAGAACAAATATTTTGCTTTGCATAAAGACATAATATTTATATTAGGCATGGCTTTGACTGGTGAATAATCCAATAACTCGTTACAATGTCCTCCATAAGTAAAAGGATATGATACTTTAGAAAAGCATTTTCAGAACATTGTTGTAAATACTGATGACTATATTTATTTTGTTTGTGCTGATATACATGTACAGTGTACACGTAAGAGTTGTTCTTGAATAGTGATAAAAAGATATGCCAATCTTTTTCCAAAGTTCTTGTCATTGCCATATTGGGGAGTAGCACCAATATCTTGCTAGCTGCTTTATTCCTACCCATTTTACTTAGGGATTTTCGTTTACAAATTGATAAATACCGAGTCATTATAATACAGTTAGGGTTAACTAACTTAACATCCTCATTCGTCTCAGAGCTATAGCAAAGATTTAATTGACATCCAGAGTAAAAAGCTGTGAGGCCTGTAATTAGTAGATGTGTGATTGACGTCCCCATTTTCGTCGAAATGCCCCAAAAATGGATTTTATCCAACATCTCGAGTACATCAATAAACCACTGGCAAGTTAATTCATTTTCGTGTTCATTTTCTCAAATATTCAAATTTCCCACCATTTTCAAATAAAGTTGACATTTTTCGACCATGAAATATTCCGTTATACCATTGCGAATATTGGACAGAGGACACATTACTTCAATGATAAAGTTTCAGATATAACGTGCCATTTAAAAATGCCTTTGCATATGGAAAGTATGCACCCAAAGTGGCATCATCGTGATGTCACTAAAGCCTCAGTCATACTTGCTACGGCGACCAAACGCTATAATATCTGGTTTTGGATACGGGGTTTATCCCTCTGGAAATATGTTAACATATTTTCCTTGGGATAAACACTGTATCCAAAACCACTCAGTACATAACCTTTAATTATACCATTATATGTTTTACAATTCCTCCAACTGCAGTCTATTCCAGGGTAACAGTATTTCCATCGTGAAGTTTCATGATATACGGATTGTGATGTATGACGCTGAACCCATGGGTTATCAAGACAACTATTCAATCATTCTTATCTCAGACACTCAAATTTTCAATTATGCAATTTTTGTGTCCAGGATAGATCGCATTAATCGATTTTGGATAGGCATTTCAAGATTTCTTTACACAAATGACAATTCATCTCCTTGATCAATTGTGTTGGTAGAGAACTCATTACACGAAAGATAAAAGATCACACATCATTTGTAACAGATAACAGGATTCCTATTTTTTAACTTTATTAAATATTGACCGAAATATACTAGTATACCGAAAGATTATTGTTCAGTTCCTATCATCTACAAAAATGTCTCGGTAGACCATGTAGCCTACTTGTACATAAGTATGTGCATGATCGTGTTTTTTGATCGAGGCTATGAGGATTGTGGGATCTTGATGATTTTTATATTTCCCACCACTGCCACCAATTACATACTCACAGATTATAAATTTACTAAATATCTTGGCCATAGCATCAATTACACACCATGCAAAGAATCGTCATACTCGTTTTCCAGTTTGATTTTCAATCATGAAAACATCATACCTTGGAAATCCAAGATGAAGAATCGTTTAATTAACAACAAATGTGTACTTTACGTAAAAGAACAGCTAGAGCATCATGATGTAACTTCATTTAACCAACCCCAAAGTACAATCTAGGGGCTAATTTCGTGTTATGGGTTGTGTTATTTTAATCCCATGGGATCACATAGCAATAAAATTGGCTCATAATGTTTCACCATGTTTTGTGTTTTCTGTCAATGCAATAGGCTAATTCGTCATAGATCATGCACTTATTCAAGACAATACAATCTCTGCTTAATTATTTGTGGTGCCAAGATAAATTTGGAATAATTTTCCACTTCTATTCTAGACAGATTTATCAGCCAGAACAATCAGAGTGGATTAACGTAGTACCATTACATTATGGACATTCCAATTGAAAAGTCAGAAACCGTACATGATGTTAACTTTAACTCATTTCCTTTCACCCGATTGACACTTCCATTTACATAACATAAATATGACCTTAATATTATTGAAGTTTGGTGAGATTTCTCTCATAGGAGAGGAAAAATACCAGGAGGAATGTGCGAATGCGACGACCCGAGCGCACAAATTGCTTCGCGCATGAATATTTCATATTTTGTCTCATAAAATAAAAGATAATGCTGTTTTATGGTAAAACATTTATGTACCATATATGTTGTGTATCATAGTTCAAAATTGATGTGAAAATAATTTGCTATAGCTGGATGATGTTCTAATAATCCACTTCCTCGACTGGTGGCAGCGCGGTGGGATCGACAAAAACTAATATACATATTTTACATTATATTTGAATCATCTTGACATTAAACTTCATGTGTTTTAAGAGCATAGTCTTTTATATTTAAAAACGAAATTCAAAAAACGCAACAATGACATGAACTTCACACTACAAACACATGTGTGTTAATCATAACATTTTTTTCTCGAATCGAATCCACCATATTCGTGGTAACTATGATAGCACTACTATTAATGAATAGATGAATTGGATTCTTGAAAAACCTGTCCCATAATGTCAAAAACGTTTTACTGAAACAGATAATATACACGAGGTTTGAATTTAGAACAGTTAGAATGTATCATTACAAACCGCAAGTTGATGAAGATAAATTGATTGTGTATGATCATTTATCTTCATATACACATAATGAGACACCTTCCTATATAGAGAAAAATAGATCTATATGTGAGATAGATAAATGTTCATCAGGATAATTTTCCACATATTCATAGGTTTACACAATGACCCAATCATAACTTTTCTATGATCTCTCTATTGTTAACGCTTAACTTGGGAGATAAAGGCATAGTTCCTTTTTACTTGAACATAGACCTTTGAGAAAATATAATCTATACTGTATACTGGAAAGCATCTGAGAGAAAGTGTAACAAATTACAAATTAGCGAGGTTTTTCACAACCTAAACGTGAACGGAAAATATTTAAGCGGTGCATTTGTATGGGCGATTGGTCATATGTATAGGTTGGCGTTTCGATTTTATATGCAAGCTTAATCTCCCTATTATTTATAACTGTCCCAAATACACATCCGATCACAAGGGAGTTGTTGGATCAATCACCCATCATTAAATCGATCAGCAATGAAACCAGATAGCCTATGGCTATTTCACGCATTCTTACGTTCATTGTCAGGTCATGGATATGTCAATTGAAAGAGGCAAACTGGTACATGCTATCGGAGGCTGCAATATTTAGAGAGCAATGTAGTTTGCGTATTAAGTCACGATTTTCCATTTAATCTGACCTGTATACTCATAACAAGTCACATAACGTACCTCTTTTTCAATAATTCCTCTATTTGAATGAGTCTATCGGCGTGGGTATAAGAATTCAGAAAATCTTTTTAACTACCTACATTTATGAAGCACTAAGCAAAGCAATCCTTTCACAGTTTGTATCAACAGAAGAACAAGAGGTAACGAGAGGAAAACAATTTCAGTCCATAAAAGTGTCATTATAGTAATTATATCTGTAGAAATGGTATTACTGCTGCATTGTGACTCATATACAAAAGAGACGAGGATGGTTTAAAGTGCTAATTCTATCACTCAAAGGACCCTGCTGCTCGAGTCGGCTTCTAATTCAAATTGGAATGGACAATATGACGGTAGTCCTCAAAGGACCAATCAATTTACCTGCTTGATCAATGTTCAATGTTAGCGAGTGGATCAATCAATGTCTGAATACTGCTATATGAAATAGTCAACTGTACAATTCGTAGATATGCCCTTTCAATCATTTGTTCTCGGTTTCAATGCCTTCTAAAATATTCAATATGGATTGGCTTTGATAAAGTGAATTACATTTTTCAGAGTTTGACTTTATATTATCAACGTGCTCATTGATCTGTGTCGAGCATTGCCCCTTTTGTGAGCAGCTGTTATGCTAATAAAAGTAATGGGCAATGACAGGCAGTGACTTTGAAACGTTTTTCAGACTCTCCTACCATTCCTTATTGATGGGAATGGGGTTTTCAATTCAACGTCATTCCTGAATTGTAACTCAGGAAAAGATTTAAGGGTGGAAATGAAGTCAATTTATATTTTCAACCTTAAAGGGAATTTTCTTCTCGTTACGTGTAAACAAAAGTTTTAACATTTCAAGTCGGGGAAACAGAAACCTTGTAAATCAAGATGGAACAATTTATATAGGATAAATTCGTCAGTCAAAGGGAAATAAATGATGGCTTTCCAGTTAACATTGCAAATGAAGCTGAAAATTAAGTAATCATTGGAAATATTGTTGTTGTAAAGGTTAAAGCAATCAAACTTTGTCAAAACAATATAAACCCAAGGTCTCATCCCTCGATTCAAACAATCGAATATGTTTTGCAAAATATGTCGAGTACCCCCAAATGTTTGTTGAACAGGTCGTACATACTGTAGTCACACGAATGGGGTTCTTTCGGAGCATATGGGTTAGCAGATGGCCTCTATGAAAAGAAGATACTAATCTTGAATTGAAAGTCCTTCTGAAGCAGCCAAGATTTCTCCTGAAGGAAAAACAAGTTCTTTTGGATTTGTGATGAAGACCTCTCGCCCTATTCGTAGCAGTG